AGTGAAAATAATGGATCCAGAAGCAGGCATTCAAATGTAGGCTATCTTAATAGGCCTACGTAGGACAAACTAAGCCATATTCTGAAGATCCAATGGCCACAACAGCTTGGTCCACAGTTATACCATAGATAAAACATACTTGTGTTGCTTGGTTATTAGTATGTTTTATCTATGGTTATACCTTGTGCTTTACATTCCAACTTTAACCTAGGATGAAAGTAAACATTGAAATGTAAACAAAACAGCTACAAACAAACGAGATAAACCCATGTGTCATAAAAACCCAATATTAAAACGTTTTTATTAGCTCGCTTTCTTGTCCGGTACAAATATTGCAATCGATTTTATAATAAGTTCCCGATGAGCTAGAGTCTTGAAACTTGAAACATAGCTCACAAATGGATGACAATGCAATATTATACAATTTAATTTTCATATTTCCCTTGGGCTACGCCCCAAGGGCTTGTTTTTATTATTAAAACGTTTTTATTAGCTCGCTTTCTTGACCGGTACAAACATTGCAATCGATTTTATAATAAGTTCCCGATGAGCTAGAGTCTTGAAACTTGAAACATAGCTCACAAATGGATGACAATGCAATATTATACAATTTAATTTTCATATTTCCCTTGGGCTTCACCCCAAGGGCTTGTTTCTATTAACTCGCTTTCTTGCAAATTTTGATACTTCCCGATGAGCTAGAGACTTGAAACTCGAAACATAGCTCACAAATGGATGACAATGCAATATTATATCATTTAATTTTCATATTTCCCATGGGCTACGCCCCATGGGCTTGTTTTTATTGGCTCGCTAGTCGCTTTCCTACAAATTTTGATATCAATCTTAAACGAAGTTCCCGATTAGCTGGAGACTTGAAATTTGAAACATAGCTCACAAATGGTTGACAATGCAATATTATATCATTTAATTTTCATAGGCTATTTCCCTTGGGATACGCCCCATGGGCTTCCACATTTTCCATGTTTACATTTTGAAAGAATGTAAACATATCAATTAATTTAAATCAGCTGTAAATACTTAAATTTGATAGTTCGAAGAGCAGAGGTTAAGAGGTACAAGTTCTGCTCCGGATATATTCTAAAAATATAAAACAAACATTTTAAAGTCAAGATAAAACATCTGATTAGAGATAATAATCAGGTTTTGGTTATAGTGCGTTTAAAAACGTTTTGTTTTAAAAAAGCTTTTTATTTATTATTTTTCTTTCAACACACATTAAAATAACAAGCGAAATTGCGTGACCCGTAAAATAAAATCCAGAAGGAAGTTTGCAAATATTTTTACCATAAACATTGTGCTCAGTATTCTTTAGCTGTTGGCCAAATTTCATATCAATTGGTCAAGCCCTTCATTCTGATGCTCTTACAAAGAAGTTACAAAGTGAGGGAAAGTGAGCTTCGCTCAATCATTACATTTCTTCAGCTTAAGCCACAATTGAGTGTTAACCATAGTTTATGTTATGTGTAGGCTATAGGAAAACCAGCAAATAGCTTATACCCATACCCTATATGGGAAATTGACTTTATTGCCCATGTAACTATTTATTATTGCATATTTATTATTCACTAGCTGTACCCGCGGGCCTTGCCCCGTTTAATTTCATAAGTATTCGCATGGCTCATTCACGTCCTGGTTGAAGTTCGTTCGCTACGCTCACTCACCTTTAGGTTGGAGCTCGTTCGCTGCGCTCACTTGCCTTCAGGTTAGCTCGTTCGCTACGCTAACTCGCCTCCAGGTTGAAGTTCGTTCGCTACGCTCACTCACATTTTGGTTGGAAATTAGCTGTTGTCATAAATAAAAAAATACCCCCGTCGCAGCAAACCTGCATACTAAGCGAATTTCCATTTACCCGGCTTGATTTCTACTAAAATATTCCCTATAAATTTTCAGATTTGTTTCCTATTTAAATAACATTAATTTTAGTGAGTACTGTAGTTAGGTTTACTGCTACGGGGAAGATGTTGAGGTGTGTTTTATCAATTGAAATATTGATAGCTTAGTATGAAATAAACCAAATTGCCAAATTTGATTTAAATATATCCATAAACAAGCAAACTAGAACAGTTTATTTATTCTCCATAAGAATAACATGGGAGTTTTAAATTTACAATTTTTTAATTTTTCTCCGTAGTCAATGAACATTCAAAAACACTTCAATATACTAAATTATTTTTTTTTTAAGCTCTTCAAAATGGTCTAGAGAGAAATTTAGAAATTTAAAGTTTTTAGGGTCAAAAATGAGAAAAACCCATTTTTACCCCGTAAAACCCCCCATAAACCCCTGATCCCATGGTCCGATTATGCTGGTTCGCGAACTCGTTCGAATAAATGTAGGTTTACACGTTTGTACCAAATTTCATCAAAATCGGATCAATTTTGCTCGAGTTATCGCGCTAACGGACACATATATAAATATATATATATATACATATATATATATATATATATATATATATATATATATATGAATTTGAACGGATAGTGTTTTTGGCCTCTGGGGACCTCAAAACGAAAAAGTAAATCGGTCCCGGGTCTAGGTCTTACCATGAGACCTACGGTAATAGCTTATTCCCTAAATAATATTAATTATAAGTAATATTAATTCGCTAAAATAATAGTGCTGCACCCTGTTGGTAATCCTTATAACTTTTATGCTATTGAACATCATAGAACAGAACCAACTTGTTAAATTGAAACAGCTGTTAAGATTCATTAATTCCTTTTAAATATGAAAAATCATAAGATTAATATGGGGAACTACAGAGCCACTGGGCGGAGCCCGAAAGGGGTTTTGAGATAAGAATTATGCTTTAATGTTAATCGGGAATGTGAGCTATCATCATGCCAAATTTCAGCCCAATCCGTCCAGTAGTTTATGCGTGATTGAGCAACACACACACACACAAACACACACACAAACTTTCAGATTTATAATATTAGTAAGATTATTATGGGCACGTACTTATTATTAGGCCTTTTGTTGTTTTGACTCTCTCTTCCGTTCTGTGGCTAAAGCTGAAGCAATACTCAATGTTCCTAATTGGGTCTGAATAATATATTTTAGCCAAAACTAATCAAGAGAGGATTTGCAAGGGGACTAGCTGCCTTTTTTGTGTGCTTTCTATACGCATAGCATTTTTATAAATGTTTTTAAAGGTAACGGTCCAATCCAAACCCTGGTCTTCTTACTACTGTATCTTCTGATGTCGACCTGTTTGTTAGATAGTATCACCATAGATTAAACATATCATTTACAATGTGCTCATGACTGCTATGCTGCAATATGCCCATAATTTGTATTCATAGCCTATAATGGCAAATGGCATCTCGGCCTATAAACGATCCCGCTTGGAATCGAACCAGGATAACCAGGGATCGATTTGATGGTGAGCACTATAATCACTCGTAAACTTCTTTATGTTTATGCTTATGAAATTACAACAGAAGTACATGTAAAGAATGGAAGTAGCCGAGTGTTAAAGAATAGTTGGTATTTACTCAAGGAAGGTACACAAGAGCCTTCGAGCTGTCAGATCTCCTCTTGAGGGAACACCGCAACGACACGGAAATCAGTCATCGGCGTCGGTGGTGTAGTGGATAGCGAGCGGGTTGGGCTAATATTCCGAAGGTGCCGGGTTCGAATCTAACTTTTTGTCAACAATTTTTTTCATATCAGCAAGTTTGGTTGGTTTGGTTGGTTACGACGGTTTAATTTTATAATTAAAAAATTAAAAAATTGAATTTTAGGCATTTATAATTTTGGGGTACACTTCCATATCTGTTGACACAGACAAGCGAATGAAAATATCGATCGATATATCGATCATTCGATATATCGTTTGGTTAGTTAGGTAAGGTTAACCTAATCTAACTAACCAAATGATATATCGAATTAAACAATCGAATAATCAATATACTCATTCGGTTGTTTGTGCCAACAGATATGGAAGTGTACCCTAATTTTATTTTATGAACAAAACTATTTTTTAGATTAGTAAACCTTCATTTGATTTTTTCATTATCAGCACGCGTTTGGTTAGGTTATGACAGTTTAATTTAATAATAAAAAGTTGTAAGATTAATTTTATAATTTTTCTTAATTTTATAATTAACTAGGCCTAATAGTGAAGTAAAAATTACGCGCTGTGCTCTCTACTACAACGCTGTTAACGGAGGAATTTTGAACTAAACTATGATGTCATCGTTGCCTCATTTGTATTTCCCTTAAGTCAGACCAAGGCAGCGCAGCACTACGTCACAGTGGTGGATAGTTGTACCATTTTTGGATATTTGTACTAAACTCTTACCATTAAAATCTTACAAACAGCCAGCTTGTTTATTTACCTAAAACATATGGGAATGGTGATGGCAATGAATTTATCAATGAAATCTATCCATGACGTCACACTAGTGGATAGATTTCATTGATAAATTCATTGCCATCACCATTCCCATATGTTTTAGGTAAATCAACAAGCTGGCTGTTTGTAAGATTTTAATGGTAAGAGTTTAGTACAACAATGGTACAACTATCCACCACTGTGACGTAGTGTTGCGCTGCCCGTGCTGCAGCATGGCCTGTTTTTTTCCAGTGGGTTTTTTTTCTAGTGGGGCCTTGGTCGGACCCAGAATAGTTGAGGGTTCACTCAACCATTGACTTTGGATACTGTAAATAGATTTGTCCTATTTTAATTTCTGAAACTAATTTCGATTTAGTACAGTAGTTTATACCCGTGAAATCTGTTTCTGTGATATATAGCCTAATTGATAAAGGTTTGAAGGCTATATAAGGGTGGATTTTACAATGTGCCCAAAATAAATTTCTTATAGTATACTGAGGTGTTACTTTTAAAACCTATGGTGCAGAGACTTCAGAGGGGGAAATACACTAAAAACAAACAAAGCAGAGGACAAATCAATCAGCTGATTGAGTTATTTAGATAGGCAGGCAAACAGGCAGTGAGTGAGGACAGAGACATAGAGACCAGGGAAACGTATGTTCTTGTTGTCAAAACTGATAAATTCAAAATATTTGTTTGTCAGTTTTTAGAATTTTGATAGGGAAAGTCCACATATCTTTGTGTATGTAGTTTTGTACTTGTAGTGAGAACTTAAGTCGTTAAACTACCGTCCCCTTACCAAAATGTTAATGTTTTGATTTGTCGGTCAAAGGAGTTTTCATAAGCAAAATGGCGATGGAGTAAGTATCAATAGGTATTGTTTTATTACCTACACGTTGTTTACATATGCTTTCAAGCTGGATGATTTACTGTTAGGACTTTGGTTCAGTACAAGACCAGTTCTTTTTAACGCTAAATTTATTCTGACAAAGCCTAAGTTAGATATCAAACCAATATGTATTGCATTGCCCCAATTTGGCTCTCTTTGATCTAGTTTCTTCGTTGACTAAATAGGCCCACCAACTCAATAACCAAGCACAATTCATGGCCTTTAATTTGGATATTTACTTTAATCATAGGTTACTTCTTTAACTTACTAATTCATAAGTCTCTGTAAGAATTAAGGTTACACCTTCCATCACACTTGATTTCCATTCAAAAACACTTAACTTAGGCCTACATTCTTGTTTCCACTTGTCTTCTGGCCTAGGTCTAATTTATGATTCTATTTATTTTATATAACATTATTCTACCTCATGTAGAACAGTATACAGTAGAACCTCGATTGTTCGACACTTTGTGGTCTTAAGGGGTTTAGAACTAATCAAAATGCCGAATTAAGTTACAGTAGACTCCCTCTTATCCAGACTCCTCGGGACCGAAGCCAGTCCAGATACCTAACGGGTTTTCCGGTTAAACCGACGTCCCCAAAAACTCGTTAAAACGGACTGTTTACTGTGATATTCAACTTAAATTTAGGAGAGCGTCGTATTAAGACACGTGATCACTGGTCTCAAATATTTCCCACGAGAACGGACGTTTCAGTACTGCCCACTTCCTTCCGATGATCTAGTCCGGTTAAACCAATGTGCTGTTAAAAATTGTCCGGTTAAAGAGATTTATTAATTTATTTATTTATTTATTCCAACGGCAAGATCACCAATTTACAATGTGGATTCAAGAAGCCAATGAGGTAACAACATGCATTTTAACAGAAAACATAACAACTAACTTCTATGGCAGGAGCAGAGCAACATTGGTAACAGGAAATATAATCTTGACTGGGAAAGCAATAATTTAACAATGAAATGAAATGAAATACGTTTATTTATCCCAATACTATTACAGAAAGATACAGATAAATAAAAACAGAGAGTAAGAATAACTATAATAGTACAACTATAATTGTTAAATGAATCTGCCATACTTATGGGATAGGCCTACATGGGCAGGTGCCTGTGCGTAGGCCTGGTTATGTATCACAAAATAATTGTGAAAAAGCAATAACAAAGTAGGAAATATAAAAACATTTCTTGAGTCATTACTTGAGATGTAATTTCTGCCGAGCGTAGTCCGTTTAAACTGATGTCCGGTTACAGTGGCGTACCGATGGGGGGTGGCGGGGGCGGTCTGCCCCAGGCCCCACACCAACATAGGCCCCCAAATCAGGGCCGTATTCCTATAACTTCAAACACGGCCATTGCCGAGGGCCTCTTGGCCTAGGAAGGGGCCTTACTTGGGTCTCAAAAATTGGAAAATAAATTTTGCTGTTGAATATAATCATCTGTTGTCACAATAACCTGAAGCGTCTGCAAAGATTGAATGCGCGATCGAAAATCGCGACTCCCATCGATCGCGGGTGACGATAATAAGGTCTCGCAACCGCAAAAGATGTTCTGTGTTCACGATTTCGCCGCGATTGCGGGGGACGATAATATTGTCCAAGCGTTCACTGGAGATGTGAACAATTTTGGCATGCAGAATATATCCCTGCGTCCGCGAAGGATGTTTCTTTATTCCACCGTAAACATAGGACATGTTTACGATTGCTCCGCGGTCTCGGAGATCCTGCGCGACCGTGAAAGACGGAGATTACATCCCCACAAACACGGATGCTCACGATTTCGTCTTCACCGAGGATAATATCGTTCTTTTTTGCCCCGATCACAGTAGTCGTTTGGACCAATTATAGTAAAATATAATGTATAATATAAAGATAGGCTAATATAATTATATAATGTATTTTATACAAAAATAGTAGGTCTATCTCCTAAATAAAAAAAAAAAAATTGAAAGAAGTGTCAGAAAAACCCTGATTTGTACTAGCCTTCTTCTTGGAGTGCTTGTGCTTATTTCAAATCTCCAACTCATAAAAACTTAAAATGTTAAAAACTTTAAGGAAAACTTCATTTAGCATAATTCAATTTTTCTCAAATACAAAAATAGATTACATTTAAAATAGTTGAAGTAAGCTCATTTAATCAGTGATACAAAATACATTAAAAGCGTATACTTCTTTTCAGTTCTAATCACTGTTTAGGGTTACTTTTTTAATAAGCACCATGGTACATGTTTAAAATAATTTTTAACATAAAATGATTTTAAACAGGGTAGGCCTTCTATGGTATTTATTATTTCACTTGTATATATATATGTATGTAAAAAAGGCCCTCTCGTCTAAGCCATCCCAGTCCCCCAACTATAACAGTACGCCACTGTCCGGTTAACAGGTGTCCGGATAAGAGGGAGTCTACTTTATAGGGAGTAAATGGAGTTTAACTTAATATGTAAAAATACAAGTTTTATATAGAAATCACCCAAATTTATTAAATAGGCTATCCTACTAAAAAAACATTTCATTTTATAAGTTACTTAGTATTTTAGATGGTATCAAATAGGTACCTACCTAAGTTTTCCTACATTTGGTGTAGTGGAGCGAGAGTGGCGTTCCCATTCTGACTTCTGTCTTGATTGAAGTATATTTATTGGGCTATTAAGATAATATGTGACCCGAGTTTTTAGGAGTCAAAGTTAAACAATGACTGGATGGTGTTTAACAATTTTAAATAGCGTTCAAATAAGTTTATCCTCTCTTGTGCTGACGGCTGGACCGAGAACATCTCGCGTAGTCGTGGTGAAATTAAGAGTGTCACCTGCTGTTACTGTAAAATTGTGAATGTCTTCTGCGGTTATGGCGAAGTCAAGAGCATCCCACATGGCCGCATTTGCAGTCAAGGTAAATGGTAAACATCTTCCGCGGTTGTGTCCCGCAGTAGGCCTAGTGGTGACTCTTTAGCGATCGCAGTAAAATCATGAATCCATTCAGCTATTGTGGTAAAAAATGAGGAGATCTCTTGACATCATCAATCTTTTTGAAGACTGTGGCAGAAATTTGTAGGGACGAGAGCTCCAAGGAGTCAAGTAAGATTCTTACGTGCTTAATAAAAGACAAAGGAAGTGACTTCACAAAGGAATGACGCTGCAGCTATTGTTAACGCTGAAAACAGAGCACCACCTGGCCAAAGAAATCTTATAGTTTTTTTCCAAAACTTATTAATGTTTGGCCGTATTTGTTTTAGATCTGTCGTTAGATCCACTTGCTTACCGTCTTCTGATCCCAACCGGAGAAAAACAGTTCAAAACAGAACAGAGCATAGAAATAATTTAACAATGCTAGGCTATGTGTCGTGCTGGTTGGCGTCAAAAGAGGGATTTAGCTTGCTAGGTCTGAAAAACTTACTTTACAGTGGGTGGTTGACATATTGTACCTGCGCTTATAGGGCACCCGCCTACAGTAACTTACATAAGAGATAACCAAAGCAGTATGAGAGCGGATCTATATTTATTTACATATTGTAGATTACTTTATAATTTTGTTACAACGGAATATTTTTCATATTTCCATAATCAACTGTTAACTAACTTTAAATTCACTCTTTAATTGAGGTCTTAATGTTGATGTTTTTTTTCTTCATTCCTCTGTTACAAATTGCAGTTTTGCTCGATTACAAGCAACGGGTAATCTAAATACATAGACTTCAATTGGTAGCCTAGATACCTCCATTCTCAACTTCTTACTCCACATATAAATTTAATGACATCAATAATATCCTAAGATCAGTTAAATAAACAAATTAAAAAATTATTTAAATTATTATAGGATAATTCGACTTGCTGTTCTTGGAAATTGAAAATCAACTTGCATATGGTTAACGACAAGAATAGGCAGAATATTATTGGTATTTAGACAAAAAATCAAATGGTGGTGATGGTGAATTGAATAATAAGATGAATGTGCCAACAATAATATAATACTTAGTAGGCATATTAAAATAGCTTTTAATCATATTGATAAAAATAGTGGGCCTCGCATAAAAACCCATTTAGGCCTAAAGTAGTATTCTTCTTTCAAGTGTATTTTCAACCGTAATGGGCTACAGTCTTCCCGGAGTTTGGCCCTTAACGCTACTTATGAGACATCTTGTGGACGTTTGAAAATTAGATAGGCCTATGTCTCCATGGACTAAAGTTGATGTTTTGTTACAGAAATGAAGATGGCGGTGCAGCAGGAGGATGGTGGGGCTCATGGATGAATGCCGCAAAAGCCAAGGTCTGAATTTTGTATTTTGCAAACATTTGATCAAAATCAATGCAGATCTAGATAGTAAATTCTAGGTGTTTTGTAAAACTAGCTTCTTCAAATACTGTTTCTTATGTTTGCTATCCTCCAATGTCATGTAAGGTTAACTTTGGTGCACTTGAACTTATATTGAACTTGAGGAGCCGAATAGATAATTAAAAAGAATAGGCCTACTGAAGTATTTAAGGCCAAATCGACATACTGTACATCCATTTGACAAAGGCTGACAGTATTAGTTAAGTTACATGTAGGCTAATAAAACATTTCCATAGTAATGTAGGCTTTTTATGTTTTGTTTAAAAAGCTATTAGCTTGGTTTACAAAACCATGTTTACATGTGGTCTCCTCTGATGTAATCTTTTCTTGTTAAAAAAGATCCTATAATTATCTTATATCTTGTACACACACAATGTCTCCAATGCAGAATTAACCTCACCAAAAACAAAAAGTAAAATGTATCTGTGCAATCATTAGCCTAATACTTGGTATTTCTCTATGTTAAATACCGTAGTTATTATTCTCATAAAAAAACACACTTTCAGTCAGCCGAGGTGTACGAGTTTGTCAAGAATGATCTGAATGAGTTGTCCACTGCAGTCAAGAGTGAAGCTAGTGCCGTGCTCTCATCAACATCCAATGCCGTCAAAGAAACTCTCCAGGTAAGTCTATTTATTTGTCATTGAAACACTGAAAGGAAATCTAGTAGTGGGCTGCTTTGAATCAGTTGTAGCGTAAATAACACCCCGCAACCCCCTCAGCACTCCAAGGTCCAGGGGGCACTGAGGTCCAACTGTCACCGCTCACCGCAATTGTGAAGTCGTTTCCACGACCGCAGGGTGCCAATATGATGGAAGATATTCATGATTTTGCCGCAGTAGCGGAAAAAATGACAATGTTTCTGTGACCGCTGTAGACGATGGTCGATGATGATGTCTTTAAGACCGGGGATTTTTAACAAGATGTTGTAACGATCACGGATAAAGACAACGAGTTTCAATGACCGCGGGAGACGATGATCATGTCTACATGAAAGCATGAGATATTCAAGATTTGGCCGCGATCACGGAAAACGTTGTTGATGACTAAGGGAGGGGATTAAAAAACGTCTGCGATAGTTTATGGATTTTGCCGCGATTACAGTTTTTGCTGAGATAAACGAATTAAATATAAGTGGTGATGTTTTGGTGGGTGGTGGGGGGGGGGGGCGGCACCATCCACATGTAGTGCAGGGGGGCGCAGCTCAATGTAGGCCAACAATATAAACAACTCATGGATTGCTGGCTCAGTGTTGGCCGCGCAGTCCGGCACTCCCCCACTCTCTACTGGCAGAAGACGGCGCAGCCCATACACTCACCGTATAATACACACCTTTTTAGATGCTGCTCTGTTTAAATTTTTATGTAGAAAATGAAAAATTGCTAATGCACGTCAAACTCTTTTTAAAATTAAAAACTTAATGAATGTTTTGTTTCTTGCATAGAATAATCCATTTGAACTCTTTAAAACCAAACATTCGCTAAACTTGATTATAGATGTTTTTCTCACAACTGACACGACTAGTTCAAAACTATACTTGGTAAAATCTATATATTAATTTGAAACTGTTTTTCTTTGTCATAGCTAAATTGAGAGAACGGCTGGGCGTAGAAACTCGGTAGAGGTGTCTAAAGAAAGGTCTTGGTCTGTAGATGAGCCATCAAAAGAGTAACGTGGTAAATTCCCTTGGGGCTCTGCCCCAGTGGCCTTTGAATTCCCATCCAATGTTATTCTTATGGAGGAAAAACTGCGTTTTTGTCCCAGCTAATTTGAGAGAACGGCTGGGCATAGAAACTTGGTAGGGGTCTCTAAAGAAAGGTCTTGGTCTAAAGATGAGCCATCAAAAGAGGAACGAGGTAAATTCCCTTGGGGCTCTCCCCCAGAAGCCTTTAAAGTTGCCTCTTCAAATTTGTTTACCATAAGCATAATTCTACACTACTTTTTAATGAAACAGCTGTTAATATTTAAATTGTGATTTATTGAATTTTTCAAAATGAAGTACAGTATTTGCAATGGGTTTTTCTGATTTTAAAATCGATTTTATTCTGCATCGTGTCATGTTTTGCTATTACCAAATCAGTGGAAAATCCTAATATCACAGTAACTTAACTCTTAAAATTATTTCTTAAGGAGTTAACTTATATCTATTGTATGGCTTGGTTTCTGCCTTTTTTTTACCACTTCTTGGAGTTTGTACGTAGGTGATATTCTTTGGCATATTGCATCTGTAGACGAAACTTGGGTTGGTGAAATTATTACAATGGAAAAAAGTGAGAAATCCTGGACAATTTGATATAGGCTAAAAATAAAACTGAATTAACAATATGCTACATTTCTTGAGCAATCATTGAAATAACCGATTTGTAAACAATGGAAACATAGAAAAAGTCATAGAACACCACCAAGTAGAAGAAAAGAAATATTTTTTTTTCATTTATAATCGTTATTATAGACAACCTAATGCGGCTATGAGAGGGAAAAATTTGTAGAAACACTAAAAAACAAGATCAGCTTTTTGAGAAAAGATAAGTTATTTACAAAAGATTTTGATTATATCTAACTGTTGCGTAGACCGTGAGTATTTCCATAATCTTCGTGAGTCGCCTGTAATACTTCGCAATTGCTCGAATTCGAGCAACAGGTACACTAGTAATAAGTAATTGCATAGAAAGGATAGTAAGTACAAAATTTGTCCTTTCACACTCAATTTATTAATGAAAACAACATTAAATATTTTTTAATAAAAAATAATTTTGGTGAGTTTTTGTTGCAGACTTATGTTAGGCGCAAACATGATAGGTACTTTTTTGTTTAGCTGAGCGGTGGCAATATCTCTCTAATATATAAAATTCTCGTGTCACAGTGTTTGTCTGCAAACTCCTCCGGAACGACTTCACCGATCGTTATGAAATTTGGTGTGTAAATTCTGTAGGTATGCGAATCGGACGTAAACTATTTCCCGTTTCGAAATTCTTAAAAGGGCTCCGCCCCAGTGGCTCTGGAGTTTCCCATGTTAACCTTATGAGAAATGGAATTAATGAATCTTAACAGCTGTTTCAATTAAACAAGTTGGGACTGTTCTATGATGTTCAATAGCATTAAAGTTACAAGGATTACCAACAGGGTGCAGCACTATTATTTCTTTTACATTTGTGACAACAGCTAATTTGCAACCAAAAGGTGAGTGAGCGCAGCGAATGAACTTCAACCTGGAGGCGAGTGAGCGTAGCGAACGAGCTAACCTGAAGGCAAGTGAGCGCAGCGAACGAGATCCAACCTAAAGGTGAGTGAGCGTAGCGAACGAACTTCAACCTGGAGGCGAGTGAGCGTAGCGAACGAGCTAACCTGAAGGCAAGTGAGCGCAGCGAACGAGCTCTAACCTAAAGGTGAGTGAGCGTAGCGAACGAGCTCCAACCCAAAGGTGAGTGAGCGTAGCGAACGAACTTCAACCAGGACGTGATTGAGCGATGTGAACGAGATCATCTTGAAAATTAAACGTAACGGTACTTTCTTTCCATCGGTCTGTCTTAGGGGAAACCCATAACTTAGGCGATACGAAGTTCGCCGGGTCAGCTAGTATTTTAATAAAAAGGTCACAAATAAACTTAATTAATTGCAATTCATGGGTTTCGTCCCCAAAAGAAATATTCTCGACGTGCCCCTTAAAAATAGTGCCCACAAAATGGGAACATGCGGCTACAAATAGTCTTTTTGTGTTAAAGTTTCCTTTAGGTTGAAGCTGACAAGTATACCTAATGAATATCAACCCGACCTACCATTGAGAAACATTTAGTCAACATTCAACACAATCAAGCATTACTGACTATAAACTAGTACATTCTGTACTACGTTAACCTTTTATGACACAAATGTTATTATAAATTCAGTCTACTTACAGTATCCAAAGTCAACCGTTTAGATCTCATGTCATTGCAAAACATGTAACAAAATTGTCCTAAAAGCAAATTGGCATTGGCAAATTATAAGGCGAACTCTTCATCAGTTGCATTCTAGACATTTATTTATTCAAATCAGTAGATACACCATTTACAAATATTACACATATTTAATATAATGTTTTAGACACCAGATCAGAGTGGAACAGTAATGTCGATTGTATTGCAAATAACAACAGCAGTAAACTTACACATAAGCATTGATCTTAAATGGAGAACGCTCTCTTACTCTTCAGATCATAGTGTATACAAGCCTCGTAAATAATATTGAATATTAATTTGGAGTTCAGGAGAGGTGCGAGAAAAAGATTTTGAATGTAACAACAAAATAAACTATGTAACAATAATAAACAAAAATAATGAAAAAAATGCAACAATAATAAACTATAAAATAACAATAAATTCACTACATGAGACAATAACATCGATAAATATGTGAAATAATAACAAGAATAATGTAAAAAATTTGTGGGAACAGACATGTCTAAGATGGGATGCAAACCCTGGAAATCTACGTCTCTTGGCCGGAGATGCAATCCCTAGGCTGCTCAGCCATTGACCAGACAAGGCCACACTGAAAACCATCACCATGGATTTCAATTACACTGGCCGCGAAAGCCTACACATGAAGGCCACACTGCTTTCATCCACTTATATTGAGTTATTCATGCTAAAATACTAAGTGGAAGTTTATTCGTGTTGTTCCCGTGACTGATATAGCCTAACTGTACAATATTTGCAGGTCAAAGGCTAAGGCTTAACATTTTCAAGCTATTTAGCATACTGAACATACTGAGTGAAAATTTAGAAACGTACGTTTTCAGGAGAAGCACTTTTAAAATGTTTTTTTTCCGTTTTTTGAAACTTTTATTATTTTTTTATTTCATTAACATTTTAAGTTTCATAAAATATCCATGGTAACACAATATCTTTGGTGATTTTTTATTAATAGAGCATCTTTGATCGAAAAACACGAAATTTTGTCACGACCATCACGGACATAAAACTGAATATTAAAAATAGTTAATATTATTTTTATAACTATGTTTTGTTATAAATTAATTTACTTTTAGGGCCATCTATACAAATAAAATTAGAGTGTTGTCTGTACATTGCTCAGAATTATAAACTTTTAGGTTTTTTTTCGTTTTATACATTAAAGAAACCGAAAAAAGTCTCATCTAAATTTCTGTCTGTCTTCCTGTCTGTCACGGCCCAAGAGCCATTTTATGCGGCCTTCTCCTGAAAAACGAGAATACCTATCAAGTTCCAAATCATTTTAATGTATTCACTGGATTGGCGAGATTGTCTTTAGCCATTAAAATATGGCGTCACAAGTTTTTAAATAAAATGGCGGACGTTTAAAAACCCAATTTTGTGCGATTTTTTGTAAAGTTTTCTTCCAATGTTTATCACATATTCATCTATAAAATAAGGAACAGCTGTTAGAATCCAAATTATTTCTTCTACCTGTCACTGATATGTTTACATTGAATGTTGTTTACAAATACCGCAACCAATTCCGATCACGTTTTGAAAGCAAATCCAAACCAAGTAAGATTAAAAACGTTTTTTAAAAAAATACCTAGAACCTATTTAAAGCCAAATAATTGTGTGTAACATGTTGCCCCTGTCCCAAAAAATATTAAAACACATATTTATAAACTACATAGTCCTATTCAGTATTTACGAAGTAAAAGGCCAGGGACATAAAAACGTATGTTTCAAAATTTTCACTCTTATATATGTTTTGAATAATTTATTGTAGACTCTTCTAACCATTCCAGCTTCATATTATAGCTAGTTAGTGCCAGCTTAGTGGATGGCTATGAGAAAAATGGATGCAAATTTTAAAATTTAGTATAGCCTATAAGTTTATGATTACACCAAAATCATAAACAAAACCCATGTTTGTGAATACATCACTAGAAAAATTGTTTAATTTCCACATACACTATCCTACATTTCCAATAATATTGCAAAATTAAAAGCTCAGCTAAGCTCCAATCTTGACATAACATTTCTGAACATCTTTCTACTTCTTTCAAAGCAATTACAACTCGACTGGACAAAACAAACATGCAGTGACAAAAAAAACTGATATAAGATCAATATCTCAGTCTGCCGGATTACTGAAAGTTTTAGACTAGCAAACAGCTGGATTATAGAAATTTAACTTTTTTTTTAAACAATGTGTTGTTGCAGTTGGACAAGCCAGAGTCTACAGCTAACACCGTGAAGCGCTCTGTGTCCTCCTTCTTCGACCAGGTTGGCACCGCTCTGAGTCCTCCACCTGAGGACGGTGATGAAGAGGCCATCATCATACAAGGCAGTGATCCTGTGTTCCTCAACAGATTACAGGTTAGTCCTGCTGACTTAGTGATCAAGCTCATTTACAGAACAAGTGGAATCAGAAAATTAACATTGACTTCCTCCCTCTTACATCTTAAATTGCTACTCAGAAATGGTAGAAGGTTGCATGCAGCGACCCAACTCACAATTGGGGAGGTTTAATTTCCATATCAGTCAGGTAACTGTGAGGCCTTCTTACGAACAACTTGTAGATTCCTACTCCTTTACATCCTTGATGATGCCAATACACCATTCACCAATCTCTACTAGAAGGCTTCCAGCCTGCACTCTATCTAATAACACTTGTTTTGTACAGTACCGTACTGTCAGCTGTCCATCGTATCTATTATTGTTTATATAATTTGATCTACAACTTACTGCATTTCCTTTTCCTATAGCTTAAACTTTTGTCTGTTCGCTAATATTTTTGTATTTTATGTAGGCTTACTTAATTTGTTAAAAAAAGGATTTCCCGTTAATTTAAATGAAATTAATTGAAAAGAAATCCTTGACTCTTCCTGGAAAAATATTAATAGAGATTATAATAACCTTTAAATTTACCAGTACATGTGTTTTCAGTAAAGGTATCCTTTATCCTATTGAAACTATGATTATCCATTTCCAAGCTGTTTATTACCTCACTCATGTAATTCGGATGGTTACAATTTTGTTCTGGTCCCGTGGTGGTTGAATTAACCAAGTTTTACTGGAATTGTGTTTTAATACTGTTGTTTTTCATATAGACACGACTTTACACATTGGCCAGTGAACCGAGGACCTTCACCGAGGACATCAAGGAAGATCAAATGCCTCAGTTCGAGGCTTGGCTGACTGTCCTCGAGGAAGACAAGATGTCCATGGACAAGATGACCAAGATGTTAGCAGCTTGTCCTCCATTACAAGAGAACTACACCACGCTCGTCCCCACCCAAGTGAGTCTAGTGAACATGAATAAATCAATTTATGTCCAGCCAGTACAAACATATATTACAGATTTTACTATGTTTGGAAATTGACTGACCGCTTTTACTTGTAGTGCGGCCAGTTAGGCATAGTGTAGGCTGTGAAATTAGGCTCCTCACCTTTCCTTATGGCTACATTATTTTCTTACTCCTGTTTAGTAGCCATTCAAAACCAAGTTTGTTTTTGGCCTTACCAACATATTACCTCCACAGTATTGAACCGTCAGCCACATCCCTAATCATGCCAAGCTTTATCCGGTCTTTCTTAACTTTTGTAATGCGTTTTACTTTTACTTAATCCCACTAACTCCTCCTGGAGTGTAAGGCCCTAATTGTTCTTCTCCGCCTAACCTGATTGGTTGCTCCTTTCCTAGTCCATTCCCATCGGCCTTTTTCAACTCTGTGTCTTTCCAAACGTTTCTTACTCTTTCTACTCTCCTGATTTCAGCCACCCGGTTCACTTCAATGCCTCCATCTCTCTTCCATTAGCTGTTCCATCTCACTCTCCTGATTTCAGCCACCCGGTTCACTTCAATGCCTCCATCTCTCTTCCATTAGCTGTTCCATCTCACTCTCCTGATTTCAGCCACCCGGTTCACTTCAATGCCTCCATCTCTCTTCCATTAGCTGTTCCATCTCACTCTCCTGATTTCAGCCACCCGGTTCACTTCAATGCCTCCATCTCTCTTCCATTAGCTGTTCCATCTCACTCTACTGATTTCAGCTACCCAGTTCTACTACAATGCCTCCATCTTCCTTCCATTAGCTGTTCCATCTCACTCTCCTGATTTCAGTCACCCGGTTGTACTTAAATGCCTCTATTCCTCTTCCATTAGCTGTTCCATCTCATTAAAACCCTTATCCTTCTTGTGATTTAGACTTAGATTTTTGATTTGCTTTTGATTTCACAATTTATCATTTTTGGCATGTGACATTGGCCACAGTAGCCTGGATTTACGGACCTCATGCATTCCATGAGCATGTATACGTGTCCGAGCCCTACATGTATGCAGTTTTTTAATTTTATTTGTCAAGTCTCATGGTCTTTTAAATTTAAAATGAAAATTCATGAGATTCTGTGGTGGGTTATTATGTTTTGAGTAGTCTGTTCTTGACATGTCTTTCAAACTCCTACTGCCATTTATTTTGTTATTGTACTTTTAGGTAACTTAACTAATATTGAAATGTATACATCCGTTACAGAAAACCCTCTAACTTTAGAGCAACTGTTATTAAATAAACATGTAAACACATTTAGTTTTGGTCCTACAAAACTCTTTAACTCTTATCTTCCTTGAAACATTCAATTTTTTTAGTTTGTATTATTTACGAATTCAATCAAATAAGTTCATAATTGTTGATTTGCTATTTTTTCGTATTTCAACATGTCAATAAATTAAACTAAAAATCATGATCAGGTATCACACGCTCAGTTTTGGCATCGTTACCTGTTCCGCAAAGGCCTAATAGAGGATGAAGAGGCAGCTAGGGAGAGGAAAGAAGAACGTGAGAAACAAGTGGCCGACTCATTCCAATGGGACAAAGGTAACTTCCGTAATCAAGTTGACAAAGTTTTTTTTTTTTAAAAAGGGGGGTTTTGGTTATCCAACCATGGCAAGAACACATAACAAAAATAAGAAAACTCTGTTTTAAGCATCAACTTAGAAATCATTGAACTAATGAATAATCCTGTTGTCAAACCTTGAGGCTTGTTTTGATGTTTCTTTTCAATTGTTACCACTTTTACCCATGTTGATAAAAAAATCTTAAAAATGCAGACAAAGTAGAAAAACAAAAAACCATTTCTGTAAAAATTTAGTCTCCATTCACACTACTGCTAAGGCATGAGAAGTAGGAGAGAAGTAAGTAAGTATACATGGTAGATCAACTGTGTGGCGTGTAGCAGGCTAAAACAATCAGAAAGTGCAGTCAATTGAAGATACCTAAAAAGTCCTTGATGCTTGGATTTAAAGATAAAACAATCTTCCAAGTACAGACAAAGTCAGCAAAATGAGGTGTCCGGTATGGTCAGTCATTCCTAACAGAAAAAACATGTTATATCTTGTTACTCAATCTTCAGGGGGAGGGGTTCGGATTCAAATAATAGGCTTCGAAACGTACCGTAATCGAGATTCTTCTGCAGCAAAATAAAATAATGTAGAACTAAGTAGTGTAGCAATACTAAACTAACTAAGGGGTTAGTGATGTAGTACATGACACACAGGACATGGGACTTTTGCTCTATTGGCTGATTGGATACTGTGTTGTTTGGCCCTTTTGATAACATAACCTAACCTGGGTTACCTAAACTTTGGTCCAATGCAATGTGTCTTGAGACAACCTAACCATAATCAATCTGGTGAGTAAATGGTTTTAAGTTACCTTTGTCAATAGCTCAAATGGTCGTTAAAACTCTACAACCAGGTTTCGATGCTGAGTTGCACCATGATCACGTAAGTCAGCAGGATAACTTCTTGCTCACATGTCGGTCAAGTTGACGTCGTTAAAAAGTTTATAAAAACAATACAGGACGTAAAAAACACATACATTTAAACACGAACAAGTATAAAACATATAACAAACGAGATCAATCTATCGAACGGGCCCGTCATGGTTAACGGGGGAATCGGGCTGTGGAAGTACTGTTGCCGCATGTTAGAAAAATATAATCTTTTACTTTAGGGCCTATTGCTGCTTATGTAGTGCCGAGCTGATTTAAGATAACCTATTTGTGGATCTAAATTTGTGAAATGCCTAAAACATTTATCTATAGTTTTGATCATCCTATACAATTTGTACAAAACTGTTCTTTTTGGACAGATATCACCATTAACTATTTTACAAAAATCATAATACTTATCTTTCAAAAATTAAAACATGGTTGACTCATTAAAGACATAACCTCAACAATAGATGTACATAATAACTGACTTACAACCCTCTGTTTCCTCTTAACTTAACTACTTGAAGAGATTACTCATTTCGTTCTGAATAATTTGACTATCATCTGGTCTACTCCATGGCCCTACACATCCTATTATCCCCATAGCTACACTTGTAGCTAAAATGTACCGCTTAGTACAACTGTTTGTTTACCATAGGTAATATGACACGGTTCACCCATAGAAGCACCTGTCAACTAAACTGACATGAATTGCTTATTTCTATAGCATGAAACTAAACATTCAAGTTAAATCGTGTTGAAGGCCATTCGCTTGTGACTTGTCCCTCTGAGACCGGGCCGGAACATTCGGTGGCCGATCCTACTGAAGCCCAACTAGAGGGAGTCTACTGTATTGTGTTGTTCCTGAAACAAGTCATTGATTGTTATTCTGTGTTTTCATCCAAGCAGTAAGGGTGGTTGGTCAACAAATTAATTGATGTTTGGATTAGGTATTATTATGGTTGTTAAATGATCCTGACAAATAATTTAGGACTTTTTGGGTCTAAAAAAATTGGGGAAAAATCATTAAAAATTAATAAACAATCTAAGGGGCACAACGTAAGGTTCTCTGTCATCTGCGCCATACACAAGTTTTTTTTCAAACTGCATGAAACCTAGAGTGGTTTTTGCCGATTGGTCTTTAACAGTACTAATAACTAACAATAACAACCAACTGATTTTTTCAGTGGATAACCTAAGTGATCATATAGAGCTTTCAGAAGAAGAGCAGATCCGAATACTGGCTGAGTACGAGGCAGAACGGAAAATGATGAAGGAGTCCGATAAAAAGAGTGAAGAAAATGGTGTGAACGTGAACAGTGCAGTGCTAATAGAACGTGAAAAGAAAGACATGATTATAGTTTCCACTAGTGCCACTACTTCTTTGTCTACAGGATCCACTGGAGATAAAGGTAAACCAATAGGTTAGTTAGGCTATTGTTAAAAAGTTAGTGTGGATTTTATCCTGCTTGGATAGTATTTAAATGGTAAAGTAAAAAATTTGATTCTCTTATGTGGCAATGTGTGCTTTTGTGTTTTGTTTGTAAATTTACATCAAAATGCAGCACAAGTTTTGCTTAAAATTTTAAATCAGAGACTTTTGGGGGGCAAAACATGTATTGGTTAAAGAACACAGAGAAAAACTCGTTAAAATAAATCATTTAAAAATGTATTTTCAAATCAAAACACTTAAACAAACAATACAAAATTTTATTAGGATCTGTTGGTTTACAACACCATAGTCCGTTCACACAATCTAGGTGATTTGAGGGTAAGTTCCAGCACCACTTTTTCTGCTTTGCTTAATGTATGGTACAGCTGATTGATGTTAAATGAGGGATCTCAGCTGTCGAGCTTTGTTTACAGTAGGATCAAGATGTGGAGGGGATAGATTTCTTCCTCCAAACCGCATAAATTCTGTGAACGGAGTATAATAAAACGTTGGTTTACATTTTACAAATACATCCACTCCAATATTCAACTGTAGTTTTATAAAATCTTTAATTTAAATTTTCTCAATATGCTGTGTTCAGTTGTCAATTGGTTTCATCGTTAGTTTTACGTTAAGATAATTAGCTAAAAAGTGTAGGAATATAATACTGATGATAATATTGAATCCACCATAATACTAAGTCTAAGAGCATTGCTTTCCTACAGGGGCAAATATGGGTTATTCTTTAATTATTTACCATAATCTGCAGTCCTTTATAGTTACGGTTGTTTGGTAATGTGTGTAGACTAGTAGACTACCCAGCATGATTTATCCCTTTGAGATCCAAACACCAAAATACATGTATTGGACCCAAGAGTAACAGAACACAACTTCCACCTACAACTATCTATGTGAGTATAAATTAACAAAAACATCTGAAAGCTTCCTTTCGACATTTGCTACTACAGCCTGGGATTTAAGTTTAGATCTACTACGCTTGGGCTTTGGTCTGACCAGTATTGGAATTGGTGTAGTGTGACAAATCCATACAGAATATTCAGTCAAATTTAAAAAATGGTATCAGTATCTAGAATTGAGAATCCATTTTTCAGGTATGGGTATCAAGAATTGATCAATTTTTGTATCCATGCTTCTCTAATAACTAGGGGTCTGCAGTACAGAAATTTTAAGGTCGGTACGATACAATATTTTGTACCTTGGTTCTCGGTACAAAATCGGTACGGTACGCGGCTACCTTTTATATGCTGCTTTCTTCTCAGGATTGTATATTTTAAATTTTCAAACATTGACATTTCTATGAAAATGGATAGTATCCTGCATTCATGGTTTTCTAACAACAATTACAGTACTACTTATTATTCAATCCGAGGGAAATGCTGTACCAAACTGATGGCGGTAATTAGGCCAGAACTGTACCGTACGGACTTTTTTGGTACAACACAGACCTCTATTAATAACTACTTTGAGCTATAGATATTGCTGGGTGGAAGTTGATGGGATGAGTGGATGATTAAATTTAATCCTGCTTCTTATTTCGAGATATAGCATCTGGATTGTTATTGAACATAGTTAAATCTAAGGCTTTCCTTGCGATCCAATTTGTTTTATAGTGGAGGCCTAGGTTTATTTGGCAAAACTTTACCTCAGTCCTTTTGTCTCAGCTCTAGCTAAACTTTTATTTTCCATCTCTTACTTGAGATATTGATATACCATGTTGAGATACAATATCTCAAGTAAGAGATGTAAAACTAAAAGTTTAGCTAGCCTATGAGACAAATGGACAGACGATAACGTTTTGACGTAGAAACCTAGGTCTCCACTATAAAACAAATTAGATTGTAAGGTAAGCCTTAGATTTAACTGCTTCTTATTGGTGACCATATCCAACATGCTTAAACTCGCACTAGTTTAAATTGGAGGATTTGTTGTAAAATAATAAGATAAGCTCAATTGTAAACATTAACTTATTATACAAACACTTAAGCCACAATTGTAAACATTAACTTATTATACAAACACTTAAGCCATGGTTGAATGTGAAATAACGTGCTGGTATTTAAATTTTTAAGCTAATAAATCTATTCCTCCTGAAAATATATATTATTTTTTAATATATTATTCATACTTACTTACTCTTACTCCCATGGCCATTTGTACCCCAAGTGGTACTTGGCCTCACCAACACACTGTCTCCACGTCGCCCTGTCTCTTGCGGTGTCTTCATTAACTTCCATCCTGGCCATATCTTTCTTTACTTCATCCGTCCAGCGTTTCCTCGGTCTCCCTCGTGGTCTCCTCCCCAGTGGGTCATTTTTCCATATTTGATAAAGTGTGCTAGTTTCCTCTCTTCTAATGATGTGGCCCGTCAGCGAAGCCTCCTGCTTTTAGGATCTGCAATTGTATCTGGCTCCTTGAACAGGTCTCTTAGTTTAGCACCATAATCATAATTTTGATTTATTATTTAATTGTATTCTTGGTCTACGATGCACCAATTTCATGGAAACATTGCCATTTCAAGATAATAAAATGATGTGACATTAATTTATTATAAACCTAGACCCCTATTTCACCCTTTTATCTACTAAAATCATATTTAACTTTACATGATAACATTACATTTTATTTTACAAAGCAGGTGTGACTAGTTATGTAACTATATAAAAGTCATTATAGAAAAAAGCTCGAGGCTCAAGCTTTTCTTCATAAGCTGGCAAAAAAAAACAGATTTTTTCACGAGTGTTTTTTGTAAAGCTTGGTGTACAGTAACAGCCCTATCACAAGTAAATAGCTCTTTAATTAATATTAGTACTTTATTTTCCACATGGAGGATCAGAAAATACAAAAGGTTGATTACTGAAAGAAAACTTTTATCAGTAACAAATCTACACAAGTCATTTCACTTCTTTTTAAACTTTTCCTCCACTCATATTCAGCTCAAATACACACCTAGCATTGCTGTCTTAAAAACAAAGATAACAAAGATATTCATTCACCTAAAGACAACAGTGTCTCATTTAATGGGGCACTTCTGGGGGCAGCAGCAGTATTTAGCCGGGATGCAAATGTCATCACCTCATCAGCTGATCCTCTGCACTGTTCTCAATCATCACAGGTGGCTTGTACATTCTAGTAATGCTAATGTATTTTATGTTCCAGAAAGTAACGATGACGACTGGGAGCGAGAGTTTGACCTGGACGAGACAGAAGCGTCGAGTCCCAAGTGACCCTAAGTCACATCATCTCCAGTGTAGTGTCAACATTCGTGTCAAGTAATGTGGCTATTGTCCAGCTACAAATGTGATCCCTGTATTGTTATTTCATTTTCTTTTGTTGTTTGCATATAGTTTACTGTGTTTTTATTAGTTTATTATGACTGTTACGGTGTGTACATATTTTATATAGTAGGCTTAAGTGTTAAGTAGTGAGATGAACATCAAACATACGGTAACATAGTTGTGGAAAATCATATTCAAATTTTATCGGGTGGACCAATCTTTCTTGGTATTAAACAATGGCGTAACTCAAATGTGAATAAATGTTGTCAATTTTAGATTTCACTTTTATATTAAACCTTAACTTGTGTCTGCCCTTAATATTATCAATGGTTGTGATGGGTAAGGTTCAACAGTATAAAGCCAAAATTTGTTGTAAATAAAATATGCGTTTTCTGCTTTTGAAATGAAACTAAACTACACCAAGCCATGGCTCAGTCTCCAGGTACTTGAACTTAATGTTTTAATATATAAATTTTATCCATCTAATATACATTTTTACAGTGGTTAGTTTAGAGGTTAATCCCTCCAAGTCACCAATGGATAATGTCTTAAGTGATAATGCTGCAACCCCCTAGGTCTGGTCTGAAGTAATGTGAAAAACAATTTCGAGCTTGTGCCTAGCGTCCTAGAAAAAATTTATATATAAATTTTTACAAAATATTATGGTAAAAAAATTAAAATGAGTGTTTTTAAAATCTTTTAGTTGTTAGCTGATATTAGCTAAAAGATATGGTGTGGTAAATAATTGTTAAGTTATTTAACAAAACTTATTAATTTCAATTCTTTTTGTTATTTTACAATTAAGTTGATCTTTAAACAAAACTCCACTGCCATATTTGATGTTCATTTCATGATTTTGTTTAGTTTTTGAAAATATTGTAGTATTTTTATATGCAGTATCGTATTCTCACTTTAAATTAAGAGTAAATTATATTACTTACTATATACATACATTATACCATAAATTTTACACGTCTCAATTTGTTGTATTTTAAATTTTAATCTACAAAAGCTAAAGATATTTACAGTAATTTATTTTTTCTCATGTTATGAATATTCATACTTTGGTGCTACAGACAGCTGATGGCTTATTTCAAATATTTGTAAATAATATAGATTTCCATCTCTAAAAATTGCATTGAACAATAATACATCGTAATACTGTATTTCCAGTTTTAGATTTTTTTTACTACAATTTTGTTTTATATTTATGACAGCCAATTCTAATCTGCAATGAACAGATTTTCAAAGTTTAGTATTTTTTAAATTATAGTGAGGAAAATTTTTGGGATTTTTTCTTATGTGTTATGAACAAAATTCTCTTAATTGCATAATTATTTATTACAATCATAAAACTTGCAGCTATGGATAAAAAAATAATTTTGGCTGATTTGATGGTAGTTAATTATTTTGAGTGTCAAAACATATACATTTGGAACAAAGGGCCTATTTAGTTGTTGGAGTTGCTGTTTGAAATGAAACTGGTTCAATTTTTTCTAAATATTGTAATGCAATGTTTTATTTATTTTTCTTAACACTTCAAATGCCATATAAAGTTCAATTTATTATAGAGTTAAATATAATAAATTTTGTCCTGATAGTTAATTTTTAAATTGGCTTTTGTTGAATGATAAATATTATGTAAAGTAAAGTATTTTTTCCTACAGTTACCTAACAATGTACATGTTCTCTCACTGATTTGAGAATGCAAAATGGCCAATTCGCTCATCAGTGAGACAATGTTAACATTGTCTCATTCCAATTACTTTGTCTCACTCCAGATTTGCAACGTGAAGGCACGAAATAGTGAGCGTGTAACATGCAGACAAGGTCGTATGCGCACGAAATACGTTGGCAGCACTGGCTGTAAATCAGCTGGTCAGCTGTTGTACTGTTGTATCATTAAATGTTATATTAAAAGTTCACTTCTGTGCAAAAATATGTTACATTTCTTTACCAATTTATTTGTTTTATGGTAAAGGTAGGAAAAATATAATGTGCAACTCGAGTGCAAAGTGCAATTGCCTCACTCGAGAAACCATTCCTCACTTGCCTACGGCTTGTTTGTTATTTCTCTCGAGTGAGTCAATTGCTCACTTTGCTCACTAGTTGCACAAATAACTATTGTGCATTTCTACTTAGAATGTTCTAGGTAAGTCTGAGTAATTGAATGTTTTGTTACTTTAAGATTAGTTTCAGATAGAGAGTCAGGGTTTTTTTTTGTTGTTATTTGGAGTTGAAAGTTTGTCTATCCTGAGTTTGTTGACTATCTATAGTGTATTTTTTACAATCTGTAAAACCACAATCTTAAGGTAATTTAAACTTATTATTTTGTATCATGTTGCAATTGTTTACTGCTTCCTTTTTACAACTATATTATTTTGAATCACCGTGTACATGTTAAAAGCACACTAACTATAAGACACTTTTATATTGGTTATTGAAAATGAGATACTGAAATATTACAATTTATGTATAAAGTGACTTTTATTTACAAGTCCTTAGTCCTTTTAGTGATGTATCTAGTCAGATTCCATCAAGAATTCGAAAAAAAAATGTTTAATTACTAATTACTCCATTTGAGCATTTGTTTTTATTCTTAACTAGAAAATTGTTTTGTTTGTGATCTTGTTTTTTAGTGTTTTTTTACAAATGTTTCCCACTCATAGCCGCATTAGGTTGTCCATATTAACGATTATAAATTCTAGAAAAAAAAATTTCTACTTTTTCTATTTTGTGGTGTTCTATGACTTTCCTATGTTTCCATAGTTTGCAAATTGTCTCTTTCAATGATCGCTCAAGAAATGCAGACAGTTTATTTTATTTTAGAAGAAATATCTGTTTGTTGAAGAGACACGTTCTTACTTCAAAGGGAGGTCCACCCTTAAGCTGTGTGAGTTTGATTATTTCCTATGTTTCAATAGTTTGCAAATCGTCTCTTTCAATGATCGCTCAAGAAATGCAGCACAGTGTTAATTCAGTTTACTTTATTTTACAGTTTATTTTACTTTAGAAGAAATATCTGTTTGTTGAGGAGGCACGTTCTTACTTCAAAGGGAGGTCCACCCTTAAGCTGTGTAAGTTTGATTATTTCCTATGTTTCAATGGTTTGCAAATCGTTTCTTATTATTTTCCTTCTTCACGGTCATCATAGCGTACTTCTGTGCTCTAGCATAGTTTTGAGAAATTAGTTGTGCGGTTACTGTTAAACTTGGAATTCCTTTACATATGGATGTCAGTTGTCTCAGCATTTCCAATTACATAAATCAGTCAATATAATCTCTCTTCGGTATGGTGTAGTGGAATATACTTAATTGTAGTGAAGCTGCATTTGCCTTGAACTGTTAGGGGCCTCGTTCATATGGTCGTGCAGCTTCATTGGCAACAAATAATGCAAATGACAAAGCAATGCTACATTTCCAAAAAGCAAATACTGTAAATTGGCTGTTGCGTAAATAGTGACTTTTGCAGGCATTGTTGTTTATTGACATATCTTATACAGGGTGATGAGATCTATTTTAAAAGGAACACGACTTTTCTGTCATAATAGTAGATGCTTAAATGGTAATTACTGTTTTTGTAATTTTTTACAGTCAAAGTGTAGTGTTATTTAAAAAAATCTCACTACAAAGTGGGCCACGGTCCGTAATAGGCCACAGCAAATCATCTGTCAAGATAGGTACTATTTCAGACAAGGTTTCTATGTTTGGATGTTATTGGACACGATAGGAGCACAATGATCTACTTCTGCAGATGAATAATCTGTTGGTTAAGAGAAATGTAGCCGAATTGTAAATGTAACAATCCAAGCGCATTTAAGTTCCTGGCTTGATTTTTTTGTATTAAGTTTAAAATATTTTTACTTACCTATCTGGATAAGTTACATAGTGTTTTTTAGGCTGCTGCGTGCACTTTGGGAATATTTTTTAAAGAGGTAAATATTTTTGTAGCTGAATAGCGCTAGTAAACATGCACCGCTCTTTTTGTTTATCTAATAACATTCAAAGGTTCAAGTTCTTATTTATATAGGTACATGGCTATATTATGTTTTCACTAAGCTAAATGAATTCATCGAAGTATCCTCTCTGAAAACTCGGCAGTAACATGCAATTTTCCAGCTTAATGACCTTCTAAATCGTGCACATGTTATTTCTACATAAATATTATTAAAAGTTTAATCCAGTATGGTAAACCACTATTATTTATTTAACAAAATATAGACAATGCTCATATGGGCGATGTGACATTCTACACTTGTATTATTTGGTATTGTATTACACAATGTAAGTTGTTTGAAGATAAAATAAAACCAAGATAAGATCAACCCTGTTTTAATACCAATTTCCAAAAACTCATCACATAAACAAAAACAAACAAAAAGTCAGCTGATAAATATTACAATTAAATATGGTATTTAAAGACAGTACAACACTTCCCCCTTAAAATTGACCTGAGCTCTATTAATTATTTTGTTGTATATCGTCCCTGTCATCAGTGTAGAACTCATGCAGCTCTCCCTTTCATTAACTCTAACTTGAGTCCTCGTAGCTCATCCAACAACCCATTACATTCTTCTAGGACTCGCTTCAATCGAATATCTACAGACCCATATTTATGTTGTAGGACACCTTCTAGTTCTTCTAGAGTTTTCTGCTCTTCACCTAGTTGTTCTTGAACTTTCTTCAGAGGTTTGGCATCCTTGTGTTCTTTCAACACTTGAAGATGTTTCTCAAAATCCTTGTATTTTTCTTGGAAATATCACTCTGGTACTCTACTCTAGCCTTCTTCACACTGTCCAGATGTGCTTTGGTTACCACAGCTTTGCTGAACTTCTCCTCACATTCCCTTGGATTAATACTGGCAACTTGCATGCTGTTGACCTCCTCCATAGAGTCCTCAGAAGTACAATTTGACGATTTATAGCTGTTCTTTGAGCACAGCTGAGATCTACTTGGATTGGTGGCAGAGCTAGCTCTATTTGGAGTGGAGTATACATCGTGGTTTTTAAAGTTATATTTGCTGTAAAGCTGGTGACTTTCTAGTTCCTTCGTCCTGATTTCTCTAGCTTCATCTCTCGCCTGTCTCTTGGTGGCCAATCGAGTCTCAGGCTCTTTGGATATCTGGTCGAGTGCCGGGTGATTAAATCCCTTCCTATCATGGTACCGGCCTCCTGTCAATGACTTATTGTATTCCACTATGTTTCCATCCTTCTTAGTTTTGTGGTCATTCTCTTTCTGAAGCTCAATGTTGAATAGTTTCAACCATTCCCTTCCAAATACACTGTCTACATGTCCCCGAATAACGTATAGGTTGCCCACAGACATCTGATCTTTATAACAAATTTTGACTGTTGCAAAACCTACGGGGCGAATCATTTCTCCTGTATATGTCCCTAACCGTATTCTTGTTCTATTTAGAATCTTTTCTGGAAATAATTTTCGAAACAGATGTAAAGGTATTGTACTGACCGCAGCACCAGTATCCAACTCAAAATAGTTGCTGCATGAGTTCTACACTGATGACAGGGACGATATACAACAAATTAATTTTCGAAACAGATGTAAAGGTATTGTACTGACCGCAGCACCAGTATCCAACTCAAAATAGTTACGCTTGTCATCAATGGTGCATTCTAACATAATTTTCCTCGGCCTGTTGACAGCTTCTGGTTGATAAATACTATCACATAGTTTAGATAGTTTACTACTTTTTTTCTGCCTATCTACAATGGATAACATAGACATGAATGGTACATTTTGACACTCACCGTCATCGTCATATTCATTATCTGGTGAAGCGTCGTCAGTTTGTAGCATGTTTTGCTTCTTTCTCCAACAAACTTTGCTGAGATGTCCCTTTCTGTCGCAATTCCAACAATTTATGTCTTTACCCACATAGCACAGAATATTTATTTGATATCAAATAAACGTTCAATATATCAAACTATGTCAAATCAAAAATTTGATATTTATTTGATATTCATTTAATGTTCAAAATGTCAAAGTCAAACAATGTCAAACTTTGAATATTTATTGTATCTTCAAAATATCAAAGTCAAATAACATCAAATTTAGAATATTATCTAAATATTCTTAATGTTAAAAATTTGATTTTCTCTTTGAAAATTTCCAAATATACTAGTTTTAAAAATTTTTAGATTTAACTTTTTAAATTTTTTAGAGTAAAGAATTAGTCCCCAGCCTACAGGGGCCCATTTCATAATAAACTACAAGTTACAAGTTACAACTTGTAACTTGTTATTTCCATTAGATTTGCATTGGGCAATCAGCTGATTTACTAATAATATTAGTTTGTACTATATTATGAAATGGGCCCCAGTTTGTAACATGGAGGTCGGAGGTCAATTATCTCAAAATAATTAATAATAGGAAGGAACACTTAACACTGTAATTTTTAATTAATTGATGATGGATTTTGACTTTTCGCTGGGGGGGGGAGTTGTTGGAACATCTGATATTTTCCTGAATCTAGGCTTACTACACATTTCAAGAAGAGTGAATAGGAAACACAGCTTTTTTAAAAGTTTTGTTTATTAATAAAAAAGTCAAACTCTTAACGATTGGCCTCATCATTTTATTTTTACTAGTAAATTAAACCAAACGTAAATTTAAATTTTTTTAAGTGTAATATAACTCTAAAAATATGTTAAGTATCTAGTTTGAGCTTGACTTGGCCCATTCGTATGAAAGGAAGAGAGGAAGACTGAAGACAAAACACCAACTTAATTCTAACCTAACTCAGAACTCAGCAAACAAAACAAAACATTACAATACAAAACAAATTACAAAATCCGTCGCGTGACCAGTGGTGGCCAGTTTACTCACGGTGTGGATTTATTTATTTATTAACCAACAAATTGCCCATTTTGAGGGAAAGTAGCCTACACGATTTATGTAAAATGTACCTATGACAACTAACTTGTTGAGTAGGCTACACAAGTACTGTAGTGAAAATAAACTATGGAAGCAACAAGAGTATCAAGATTCAAGAACAAGACATAACCTCAAATCAGTTAACTTTAGTGTGCTGATATTTTGTTTAGTGTGTGTCACTGTTAGTTTAGAGTTGTTATTTTTGTGACTGGGTATTGGCATAACCTACACCGAACATCTTTTCACGTTTTGATCCTTGGAGTATGTAAGTATAAGTCACTATACCTAGTAACATACGTATTTTAGGCCTTGGCCTTACCTAGACCTAAGTTAAGCTACTGTACAAATTAAATTGGCCAACTTATCATTCCTAATGCCTTAACTTAAGTATAAATAGATAAATCTGAAACCTCAAAATAGGCAATCTGTTTTAGAGGAAGTCTTTTTCTGCATACTAATTAGGCCTAGGCGTAAGCTACTAAGTTAGGCGGCTTGCTTAGTTCTTACTGAACCAGTAGTTTATTTAGCTTCAAAGGGCAACTTCCGGATGAAAATAGTGTTCAATTTATATAGGCTAGTAAGTAGGACTAACTTACTGGTTTACAAGGCAAATGGAATACCATACTGTGTTGTAATACCTTGTTAGGCTAATTTTGAAATATTACTAAATTATGTGGGTTATATTTTACGTCAGTCACTAACTTAAGTTTATGTAAATTCACCATCAAGAATAAGTTAACTTAATTTAGGCTAGCCTAGGCCTAACATATTCTACCTCAACCAGGTTACAATTTACCGGTATTATAAAAGAAATAGGCCTAGCCTAGCCTATTTGAAATCAATTTTCCTTTTAAACTGAATTGGGGTACACTTCCGTATCTGTTGTCAAAAACAACTGAATGAACATAGGCTATAACGATCGATATTTTCATTCGGTTGTTTTTGACAACAGATACGAAAGTCTACCCCTGTATTGTCTCTTAGTCTTTTGTATTTTAGTTGTTGTCTGCTTCCTTTACCAACCAATGATTAGGCCTAACTAATCTTGATACATATTTAGGCCAGAGAAAGGTATGCATGAATTTAACTAAAAGTAGTTTTCTCTCCATTGTTTCAGTTGATAACTCTGCAGCTTTGGTGGAAGTTATTATTTGGTAGCAGTGAATAATTTGCCTACGGTACCAATTCTCCCGAGTGACAAAGTGGCTGTCTAGCAGCCTGTAGGCTGGGAAGGAGGAATAAATTTTTCTTTTGCAATCTGCATCTGAAGCCAGCTATCTTGCGTAAGTTTTTTTTTTATTTACAATCAGACATTAATAATAGGTAGACATACATATATTTAAATTAGGTTTTCTCAAAGTTAAAATAAGTTAAAATAAAGTTTCAATCTTAGGTGTTTTTATTTCAATTTTTCTGTTTGATTCGCCATGACTGTGTATGTCTTTTTTGCCATAACGGGTACAGTTCCGCAGAGAACCTGCGATATATTATCTGATGAATAACATTATATATCAATAATTATCCGATTCAATACATCGTTCCCTATGTTTTTTCACTATGTAAACATCAAATTGAGTTATGATTTGCAGATTTGGTGAATTGGTTTTGCAATATTAATATCAAATCAGATATATATACCGTCCGATAATATATCGCAGGTTCTCTTAGGAACTGTAGATAAGTTAGGCTCTACCACCAAAACACAACCTAATTCATGATAGGTACCTATTGGGTAATAACGTAGCCTAAGGTTCATCACACAGTTAAGAGAGTTTCTCTTTTTTGTGACCCACTTATATAGGAAGTCTTTGATTTACACTATATAAATATTCCGGCAGTGCTAACTTGTGTAAAAGAAAACTGTATTAGTTGAATTTTTTAAAGGCACACATAGGCCTATACACACACCAAACTACATCCGACCGTTGCACTCATTTCAGTCAGTGCTCACCCCAATATTTGTCCGTTCAAGTGACTGAGGATTACTTTGACCACTACCTAGGTCAAAATTTTCAATTTTCAGATTTAGATTTAGCTTTAACAAGGCTACTCAGAAGAAGCAAATGCCATCAAAATATAAAATAGATTTCACTAACAATTTAATATGTGTACCTAGTTGTAGGCTATCCTGGGTGTTGATCAGGAAAATTAAAATATATACAAATTCTAGTGCTAATACTAATCTCTTTTATACAGAGGCAGAACCGGTACGCAAGAACACTAGGATCGTGGTGTAATGGAAATATATGTTGTTGCTACTATAATCAAGAATTGGCTTCGCCCAGCAAAGTTTAGGATTGATGCAAGGTAAATTTATTGTGTTGTTTATAATTTAGGTTAAAGAAAAGATTGCTTATCTAATTACCTAATATAGAACTTAAATTTTATTATAATTAACAGATTAGGCCGACATCTAACTACTGTGATGTTTTCTTTTCAAATTGTGAATTTTCAGTGACAGGCTATGCAAATGAGCAAAACTTAATCTGCGGTTTTATCCATCTCTTTTTTCTTTATTGTCAAGAACTCAATGCCTTATCGACAAATTTAATTATAAAGTACAGGTATAGTAAAAAAATAGGTCTTAAAAATGCCTAACGAAGGGGTCTCCAACCTACAGCCTGTGGGCTACATCCGGCCCTCGTGCAGTTTTATTCCAGCCAGCAGAAAGCCAGCATACGTTTTTGAAAATTATTATTTTTTATAGCAAACACCAATTATATTCTCCCACGATTGCGTAAACACGTGTGGTCAGGTGGTCTCAGCTATATCGTGATCATCTCCCGTGATCTCGCCAAGACTCACAAGCATATTATACTGCAGTCTCGACGGTGCCGTGATTGTCTTTTGCAATCCCAGCAACACCCTTCATTGTTGACCGTGATTTCCTTGAGGTGTAAAAAGAGAACTTTGTCAATGAATGCAGGCTCAGCCATGGGATATTTATTTACCTCGCGGCTCATACCATAACTAAGAGCAATTAACTGTCTCTTCCCCATTCAACAAAATTTGTGTACAATACCCTGTCTCCAAGTTGGCAGGTTAACGTATTTAAATAGGAACATAGTAAATGTCTCTCACTTGCTAATTTTTTCTCAATAGGCCTAGGGGAATATTAGTAGTAGTCAAGTAGCGGCAGATTAATTTAAATATATATATTTTTAATTGATCCTAATTGGCAGAACTACAAATTGAAATCTTAAACTAGCTGACATTTTAAGTGTCAAATTTTATAGCCTATTCTCACTAAAAAATCATTGAACTTTTTGTCAAAGATTTAGCTTAGAATGTGATTACTTCTTAATTGCACATCTTTTGTTAGAATTATAGGCATTTATAATTTTATTTTATGAACAGAACTATATTTTAGATTATTAAAAAAGGAAACTATGTAGTTTATTTGTTTATGGATAGATTTTGATAAAATTTGG